ATGCGAGCTTCGGCCACTTACATAGTGTTTTGGCTTTAGGACCTCTTAAGTCTTGGTTGAGGTGTGAACTTCATCTTGAGCCTCGATTTTGATGCTTAACACCTATATTTCTCAACGTTCCAAACGTATTTCACCCTTTGGCATCAATGAGAGTAGGCTGGCCCACAAGGCAACTAGTCGGGACCTTGCCATCTAAGTTCGTGGCCCGCTCAATTTAGCTAGGCTGACTTTCTTTCAAGTCTTTTATTTGGCCTATTGGCAAAATCAATATTTTAATTTAAGGGAAATAATTAATTTTCATCACATATTTAATAAGATCCACAATTTTTTTTAATCACAAAATTAACTTTTATCAAAATCTACTGAAATTTAATTTTAATCCCATCAAACAAGAAGCTTAATTTAATCACCTGAAAGCACTAAAAATACAGAGTAATGTTAGAAAAAAATTAGGGCCTCTCTTACTTATGTTATTCTAAATATACTTTGCAATATTTATTAATTTTTTAGAAATTTTATTCATCCTTTTTCAACTACCCAACCCTTCCTTGCGACATCAACCCATTCACAGGCATCGGTAACAACGATCCTTTCAACTAATTTTAGATTTGGGTTCCCGTCTTTAAACTCTGTAGTACAATAGGATCAAAAGCCTTCATTTTAGATTTTCATTAGGACCTCTGTAACTTCTAAGAGCTTCTGGATACGTCGAATGTAGATCCACCATCTTCTATAAGTTTCGAAATGATAAGTTCTATAGTCTTACTAGCATGAGTAAAAAGATTCATCTACCCTTAAAAATAAATAGCTAATATATTTAAAGATACCATGAAATATGAGAATAAAAAAAATTGTTTTGACTTTTGGCAAGTATCTTGCAAACAATAATGCTCCTCAAATAGTGCAAATGATAGGGGGAGTTGACAGGATAGAGTGGCAGGGTGGATTGGTTGTTGATTTTATTTTTTTTCAACTATCCAATCAATTATTTACACGTGTTTCCTCTGTCGTTGACTCTTTTGTTGAGCCTGTAGTAAGATTGTTTTGCAAAGCAGGCTAATAATGTTATCAGCATCATCACCTATATAATATTAGGTATATTATTTTGTATCACTTAGCCCCTGTTTGTATTCCATTCAAATGAGTTTTTTCTTTCTTTTTTTTTTTTTTTATAGAAAAATACGTTTTGGAATAGTGGATTTTGAAGAACGTGTAGTTAAAAAAATGAATTTATGCACAAAATATTTTATTATGTGAACGTGTGGTTAAAAATAAATTTAATGAAAGACAAACTTAGACTTAATATCACTATGACATAGCGTTACTCCAAAATTTATCTCCAATTTTCTGCTTTAAACTAGTAGCGTGTTAGATACATATTTAATGTAATGGAATTCTCTTCGCATTTGAGGAAAGTTAGGGAAGAAAGATCTTAAAAAATAATTAGGATAAGCACAACTTCAGAGACATCAACATTGTATACGAGATTTTACTATGAATATTTAGCCCTAGTTCGTCTATTGTTATTCAACGAAAATGGATTTTGAAAAAGCGATAAAGAATGTATAATATAGTAAGAAAATAATTTAAATTACGTGCAAAATATATTATTGTGAAAATATGTAATTGAAAAAGAATTCTTGAATAATGATAAACAAACAATAGCTCAACTCAATTCACTACCAAAAATCAAAGTGGGTCACACGGACCGTGTCAAATCCCACACTTTTTGCACACGCTAGAGCCTAGCCCGACTAGCCCAGCCAAAAAGTGAGGCCCTTGTCAGGCAACCTTTTAGCATATGTTTTGAGTTCCATTTTCAAAATTTATTTCCAACCACACGTTTTTTTATACAATAATATTACATTTAAATTCAAAATTTTATAATATTACATATAAATTCAAAATTTTTTCTTATCTTGTAACCACTCATTCTTCCAAAAATTACTATAACAAAATATATTTTCTCTCAAAATCGTATTAAAAAATGGAGCACAAGCAGGGGCTTAAAACATGACAACTTTCTTTACACAATTATAACTCATATGGAGAAGCTAACC